GTGGGATAAAAATAAATAATTCCTGGAGAAGACGATATAATACTGAACTGTATAAAATCTACAGAGAGCCAGATATTGTGAAATTCATTAAAATAAATCGAATGAACTGGGCAGCTCACATTTTCAGAAGGAATGATGACTCAAATTTAAAGAAAATCCTATTACACAAACCCCTAACGAACAGGAAAAGAGGTAGACCCAGGCTGAGATGGCTGGATTTAGTTGAGACTGATTTCCTTACTCTAAAGGAGAAAAACTGGCGAACAAGTGTCAAAAGTAGAGAGAAGTGGATTCGAATTCAAAGGAAGGCACTGGCCCACCCTGGGTTGTCTAGCCAGATATGATGATGATGGGTATCCATTGTTTTTTATCAGATTTTGAATTAGTTTATCGATTTGTTTTTTGGATAAATAAATATTACTACATATTCTTTTAATTCATGATACTTATTGTTTTTCTCAACTTTCTTAGTGTTTTCTTGTATTTATTTATTTATTTATTTTATATATATATATAGTAATAAAAATTATAAATACTAATATAAGTATATCGATTCCTACTGTAAGTAGTGGATAAATATACTTTTTTTACATTCTACTGCATGGAATAAGTATCGGAGAAAATGGTTGATTATGGTAATTTACATAATATTATTTAATAAGGCGAACTTCTAAAAACATGTCCCACTTAATCTAATAGCATAAAGCTATCAGAAAAAGGAACAAATAAGAATAAATAAGAAAACTGGAATTTTTTTAGTTAAAAAATTGTGACCTCATAATTTTTTCAAACTTGCACATTCTTTCGTATTGTTGATCATTACCAATTTATTGATTATTTTATTTTAACTTGTAAGAGGAATGTGTATTCATCTAGTAACAATAGCATAAGAGTAAAATTACATTTATTTTCAAAGCTACTTTGCTTAGAAAAAAAAATTAAATATATTATAAGAGCAGTGTATCTGAAACACAAAGTAATGCGAACCATAAACAAAAGAAAAATTATCTGTCGAAGCTATTTAAGGGTTATTTTTCCTTTTCTTATTTCAATTATTGATTCTTAACAAAAAAAATGTTAATTCCTCTTTAATGTTAATCTAAGCTGCTGGTTCAACTTTTTCACATCTAATTCCTAACGCCTTAGCGTTCAATGCCAAGCGAGTAATTTATTAGGGTTGTTTTTCCACCATTTGTGACCAAGTCACCAAGTTTTACTACTAAGATCTTCATATTTTGATATGTTTAATCAAACATAGCATGTTTACTAAACTAATTAGGTGATAATCCTACTAGCTATTGCTAAAATATGGAATACTAATTAGTTGATGTGTTTTGAAACTGATTAGTTTAAACAAACATAAGAGTTAAATATGAAAAATAAATATTTTTTAGAAGTTGATAGAATAAAGTAGTTCATAACATTTTTAGTTGCTACATTAAACTACTAATTGAATTTTCTATTATTAATCTAATTAATAATTGTAGGAAAAACACTATGTTTCACGTAGAAAGACAAAGATCAAATTGGTTGTTGACCGAATGGAGCACTTTTCTGCTTACGCTCAATTTGTTTTGTGTCCACTAGATTGAGGGCACAGGAGGATAGTAAAATAAAAATATGTAACCGTAAGTAATATACACTAAATTTTAACATTTAAGTTAGGAAATTTCAGAGAAAAATTGAGATAAGTATACTTTGCTGAGTTATAAAGGTAAGTGGAAGCATATTTCATTAGAAAATATGAATGCACTACTTTGTATTATGAAAATATTATTTACTACATACTTAGTCACTTAGGAAAATAATCGTTTTTTATAAACTCACTTATACAAATAAGGAACGTCAATTACAGCGCATGTGTTTATGATTTGAACATAAAAATATTCTCACCTCCTGATTTGCATTTGATCCATTCCAAGCAAGGCTTGAAGTGCTCGCCAGTACCTATGTCGTCTGAACTTGAAGGCATACCCATACCGTTTACAAAATCTAAACAAAAACAATGCATAGTCAAAACAACAACAGTGAATATTAAATTAATTAGCATCTTAGCAACAATGATAACTTATCTGCCTTATTTTACTATCTAATACTCTACTCAACTCAACTGAATCAGCTTTAAATATGTAAAATTTAGCTGTTTAAACAATATAACGTGATCAGAATACATTGTGGATTGATTGAGAAGGTAAGTTTTGTTAAAAACAATGCATAATGCTCTATTTCCCTATTCTTTGTTTTAAACTTTGGATTTTAGAGAAAAATCTGGAAAAGGAACGATATCCCTCTTGAGATATGTTTTTGATCAAAGTAAAATGTATTTACATTGATATTACAAGTTGAAATATATTCAATTCATTATCCACATTTCATTACAATACAATCTATACATTTCATTTTTTTTTTATTTCCTTAAGGAAGCAGCATTGTTCTTTCTATTGCAACTTTTATAAGTACAGCTTATTAAGCTTTTGTTACGTTTAATTTGTTGGAAAATAAGTATTGAAGGAAGATTGTGGGGAAAAAAGTATTGAATGCAAAGCACATTATAATATCACTTATATTCTAGTTGTTTTCGTTAAGTTCATGAGGAAAAAAAAACAGTTAAGTGGACGTTAGAACGTGCTTGGATCAGGTATTAAAAAAATTTCCATACTTTATTTATAACATTAAAATTTTTTGATTTATTATTGGAATAAAAGGCTTTTTTTAGATAGATAATTAAATATTTATATTCTTTCAACTTCATTCAATTTTTTCCACAATATTTTACTGCAACAAAACAGAAATTTCAATAACTTATGCTGTGACAATACATATTGGAACAACTCTCCAACACTGCCAAAAAAATTTCATTACATATTAACACCAAAATGGTAGCAACTTTTTCCATGGAGCTAGGAGTAAGTGGAGAAGACACTCCCATTAACCCACTCCTGTCAAGGTGAAGCAACCGCGAGAGTTTTCCGCCATCTTACTTGCTGCGTCGTTGTGCGCTCATACATCTTTCTATTTCTAGTTAATCCATGCTTTTAAACGANCCAAGGAAAGTTCTCGGTGTAGTAAACACCACAAATGTTTCATTGCACTTTTTTTTTTGTGTAAAGTAGTTGCCGCCATTTTGTGTGATTAGTAACATCAAAAACTGTTACAACAAAGCATATTGCAATATGAAATAATTCATATAAAGTCAATAAAGCTGTTTTTCACGGCGCAATTTAAAGCAAGGACTTTTAATTTGGAATGCACACACTCAACGATTCATGAAATAAAATTAGTTTGTTCATCTGCCTTACGCACATCACACAAAGACAATATTAACGCAATTGGAATTTGGCTTAATAGAATAAAAGTGGATAGAAATTAAAATGCTATGCAAAATTCGTAATGACCCGTGTGGTAGCGTTCCCCCACTCAGAAATACCTGGTTAGGGTGTGAAAGTTAATGTAAAATTGTTGTGATTGACGAGTTAATGATCAGTTATAAATTCTGCCAATACTAGAATTGGCACTCTTGTCGGCATATCTCGCAAAAATAGACCCGTTTTCTCTTATTGGGTTTGACTCTAATTTATGGTGTGACAATACATATTATAGTACACCTGGGAACTACTCTCAAAAAATACTCTACTCTGACAAGCAAATTTCATGATAAAGTAACTCCAAAAATGGTTGCTACTTTTTTCTAGTAATTTGTATAGTGAAATACCTGTCTTTCGTCATCTATAGCGCAATAATCTTAACATACTGCTTTTAAGTCTGACCATTCTATTTTGGAAAAACCTCCGAAAATCTTCACCATTTTCATAACTTTCTAAAAATATTGTTGATCTTTAATTTTCAGAATAGTAGAGTGAGACAGATGAAAAAGAAGATAACGGCCTAACTGACTTACATTTTAGTGATCGAATTTTCCCTTCATAAAACCTAATATTAAAATTGAAATAGATAAGATTAAGATTGGTTTGTTAATAGTTGATTAATATCAAATAAGTTACCATATTAGACACAAAAAACTACTTTCTATTAGCAAACTTCGCTTTCTTTTTCAATGGATTTAAGTTTTGATTCTCAAAAAAAAAAAAACAGGGTAAACGCAATCTGGAAAATATGATTACAATTTTTTGATCTGGAAAGCGGGCGAAAGTTGAGACTACTGCCTGTTAGTTTCACTTTTTATTTTTTAACACATCGGCTGATAAGTTTCCGGTCTGATATAGAGATGGCGCCCTAAATGCAGAATTAGTATTTTGCTTAGCAAGAAATATCTTTCTTTTCAACTTGAGACACTGCCATTGAAACTTAACAAGTTTTATTGTGACTCAAAGTTATTAAAAAATTGCATTTTCTACGATGGTTTTCCACACTTTGTACTTTGTTTTCATGCTTTTTTACTCTCTCTTCTGTTTAAAGTATTCATCTTATTGGGACGGTGAAAGATATACTTTTACAATCTCTTCTTCTGGATTTATGTTTTTACTAAGTACACTTGGAAGTTGAATGGTTTTAATCCTGAGATGGATTTATTTCAAAGGTTGAATTTGATCTTTTACGAGTTGAAGGTTTTTTACTGGTTTCTTTACCTTGTTTACCAAGTCTACTCAGTTTCCTGTTTCAGGGACATTTTAATGTCCTTTTACGAGCTCTACACTGCTCTGGATTTCTGTTCCTACTTTGTTCCTTAGATATTTTTGTTCAATGTTTTGTTACACCATTTGTTCAATGAGTACTTATTATAATCAATTTGTTTTTCGATGGTTCAATATCATTTCTATTAATTCTTAAAATATTTAGAATCGTATATTGGCTATTGCCGATCTATTAGATTTCCTTATTTGAAAGTTGGTAAACTTTTAAGCAATTAAATGAATTTTAAATCTTCATTTTCCTAATTTCTCCTTCAGAATAAATTCTTTTCTTCTATTTAGTACAAAACCATCCACAAATCATAGATACAATTTGGATTCTTTTAAATCATTAATTCTTTTTTCGGTAACTGAATTTCATTTCGATTAAATCCTAAATTATTTGGAATAGTTCATGGGCCGTTACCAATAAATTGGATTAGCTCATTTTAAAGTTGATAAGCTTTTAAGCAATTAATTGAATCTTGTATTTTTTGTTTTCGAAATTTTCCAACAGTTTCTTTTTCAAGATTTTGAAAACTAATGTTTTTGCTGATTATGTATGCTTAATAAGTATTTTCTTTTCAGGTAACATTTAAACTAAAATGAAAATCAGTCCGAACTAGAATAGTAAAGTCACTCATACAGTAAATATTTTATTTATGAGCTGGTATGAACCTTTAAAACTTTCCACTAATCGAATCGCGAAACTAAAAACAAACAAATTCAAAATAAATAAATAGTATTTGTAAATAACTTCAATCTAAACTGCAGTAGATAAAATACAGTTTCCTTCAGATTTTCATACTTATGTTAATATTAAAAAATTAATTCATATAATGAACTCATAAGAAATATTAAATCTTGGTGTCGCGAGATTTATTTCACTCTTAACATGATTTCATATATTTAAAATAGCTTAATAGCAATTAGGTTAATTTTAACAGTATTGCTCTTATTAAAGTTTATTATTGTAGATTTTTAAATTTTTACTATATATTTTTTATACATTATTTTATATCTTTTTTCGTTGAAAAATGTGTCTTGTATGGTAAGCCAATTTAGTAACCAAAACCTACATCACCAAAAAACAATTATCGTTTTAAAACTTACTGAAAGTATTACGTACCAAAGTAGTCGTTACCAGATTAAAATTATTAATAGTGCATTTTAAGGCAAAATGATTTAATAATCGAAAAATTCATATCGTATTTAAATTCACCAAAAAGGATTTTATATCATAGTAGTACCATATTAATTTAGAATTATTTATAATTATTAATAGTACGTTTTACAACAAGCTGATTTAGTAACCAAATATTTCACATCGTTGTTAAACTTGCCAAAAATATTGCCTACTGCAGTAGTTCCGCATATTTTCAATTAAAATTATTGCTAGTACACTTTACGTCAAGCGTTTCTGATACCAAATAGTTCATATTATCACTAAACTCTCCAAAAAGTTTGCCTTCCGCAGTAGTAGTAAAACATTTTTAATAAAAATTATTGGCTTTGTTTGCTTGTACACTTTTCAGTAATTCTACTTAGTAACCAAAAAGTTCATATCTTGGCTAAACTTTCCAAAATAATTTTATGGCATAGTAGTACAACATTATGTTCACTTAAAATTATTACGAGAGCATTTTACTGTAAATCTATTTAGTAACCAAAAAGTTCATATCGTAGCTAAACTTGCCAAAAGTATTATATACTTCTGTAGTACCACAATATTTTCATTTAAAATAACTGTTGGCACATTTAGTATTCTTATCTATAAAAGCCTTATTTAAAGATGTATTAAATATAATGCCTCATTTAATTTTTTAAGTGACTTGTATTAGATGTTTACCTCACGTGCTTATGTCTTTTCTCAAAAATTATAATACAAATAATTTCGTCATCTTTTAAATTTATACCTTCCTCCTATTTTATGATGAATTTATCGCATTTGTAAATGAATTAAATGTTTATGCCTTTTAATCAAATTCTACAAAAAATGTACACGTTTTTTATTTAAATTAAAATGAAGTAAGAGATTTAATTCGTAGATCAAACGTACATTCTGAAAAATAAATAAATAAGTTTAGCTCAAGCAAGTATTTAAATTAATAGATATTAAATTAATATTTAAGTCAATTGCTTTACTATTCCACCTTTTAAAAAATATTTAGAGGAGTATGGGAAAAAATTGGCGATTCTGTCATTTCCATGTCTTTATGTCCGTTCGGAGTTTATTTATGCAGTTCTTTTGGCTCTCTTGAATTCAAAATTCTTGTAAAGAACAACTTGCATATATGCATGTGTAGTTTTAAGTTCTAGATAAGTTTATCACTATAAGTTTAGTATTTAAGCAAAATTTACCCTAACATCATTTTGGCTTTCGTTCCATATTGTTTTGCATTAAAATATCTAAGTTTCATTTGGCATTCTGGTTTTCAAAATTATGTGTTCAGTAGTTATTTAT